TTCGATGAGCCACCCAAAGCTGGGGTGACGGGAAGAGCTCCTGGCAGTCCTCACACTGGTGCTGGGGCTGGCTTGCAGCCTCCTGCAGGTGGGCATCCTGGTGTGCCAGGAGCTCACTGGGGGAGAGGATGAGCTGACTGCATTCCCCACACTGGAAAGGGCCCTCCCCAGTGCCAGGCACTAGCTCAGGCTCCAGGCCCAAGTCCTCTGACAAGGTGAGCAGGTGCTGCTCCTGGTGAGAGAGGACTTCTTCCAGGGTATTGTAGAGGCTGCCGCACTCTGAGCACATGAACTGGTGGGGTTGGAAGAAGAGGGACGAGGCAAGCGCCTCCCCGGGGGTCATCTCAGTCACTGCTGTTGCTATCTCTGCCAGCTCTCCTGGCATGGGGGTTGACATTGCCACTGCTCCTGGTGACTGTCTTGGCATCTCAGCCGCCTCTGCCACCATCTCTGCCATTCTGGGGGGAGGAAGCCAGTGCCTGGAGAGAGAGGGGCAGGAGCCAGTGTTAACGCTAGGAGCCCAAGGGGAGTGGGGTGTCTGGGGAGTTCCTGGCTCATTCCATTACTCACCAGTCAGTCTGTCAAGTCTTACTTCAATGTTTATACCTCAAACTATCACAGCCACTACAGTCAGGTATCTGCAAGACAGGGTGGGTACTCTGGAGCCTGGCCTCTGATGCTGCCCCTGCCCCAGAGGCCCCTGCCCCAGAGGCCCAGAGACAGCCTCTCTCTCCCTCCCTCCCTCTCCCTCTGATCTCTCAACCTTTGCCTACGAGGTTTCCTCTTGGTGTAACACCTTTCTCTAGTCCACTCACTAGCAAAGCACTTAAGAGAAGAATGGACATCAAACCTCCCTCAGCTTCAATCTGAGCTCCCTCCTCTCCCCCCCTTTTTTTGGGGGGGGAGACAGGGTTTCTCTGTGGCTTTGGAGCCTATCCTGGCACTCGCTCTGGAGACCAGGCTGGCCCCGAACTAACAGAGATCCCCCTGCCTCTGCCTCCCGAGTGCTGGGATTAAAGGCGTGCGCCACCACTGCCTGGCTCTTGAGCTCTCCCTTTTACTAGCTCTCTCTTGAGACAGCTTTCTCACCTGTAAAATGAATTAAAAGTTGGACCGACCACAAGACTAAGGTACTTCATTAACAAAAGTCAGCACCTGGGTTTGTATGCAACCCAGGCTGGCCTCAAACTCGATATGCCATAGAGGATAGCTTTGAAATAACCCTCCTGCCTCAGCCTCCTGGGATCACAGGTGTAGACTATCACACTTAGCACCTGGGATTTAAAACTCTCAAATCTGGAGGGCTTCCCCACTTGGGGGGGGGGGGGAGGGGGGGCGTGTCTGGTGGTGTGGTGAGGCCAGCCTGGACTACAGGGCGAGTTCCAATACAGCCAAGGCCACACAAAGAAACCCTGTTCCCTCTCCCCAAAACAACCAAAAAACAAAAACAAACAAAACCTCTCAAATCTTCCACTCCATGTTGTACCTGCTCTGCTCTTTGTCTGCAGAGGTCAACACCTGGGTTTGTATGCAACCCCTTCCACACAAAAGGAGCTCACAGTCCATTCCACGAACCCACCTTAGACCTAGCAACTAGCCTTCTGATTCAACCCCAACCCCATCTTTTTTTTTTTTAATTTTTTT